AAAAATATATTTATAAAAAGTTATAATATTAATATACGTTTCAAGCGTTCTATATATATATATTTTTTATTTATATTTATTTATATTTATATTTATATTTATATTTATATACCATTCGCTAATCCTCTACTTACGTCTAAGCTTTCATCGTCGAACTCTTGTCTTCGTACATGCTTGCGATCTCTAAACCGTGTCAGTATGTGTGTGTGTGTGTGTGTGTACCTGTGTGTATACTCGTGTGTGTGTCTACCTAATATTTTTTTTTTTCTCAATTTAATAATCGTAATAACTGGCTAAACTTTTTTTTTATTATTTCCTCTCACGCTCAAGCACACGATCATTCGCTCCCCAACTTTTCCACCCTTATTTTCGTTCCCTTGCACTCCCGGTTAGAAATGTACAGACAAATTAAACTCGAGCCCTCCGATTGAAATTAAATAATGCATGAAAATCCCCCTTTCCCTCTCTCGTAACCCCCCCTCTCGCCCCCTTCAAAAATCCATCTCGCTGGAAATATTCAACGAACCACACCCCCTTCGTGAACAATTTTTCATCGTTTTTTGTTTATATTTTTTCTCTTTTTTTTTTTTTAAGTATCTTGGATGGAATCCGTTCCTTATTGGCTTAAACAACATCGAATCAACTCTTATCGAAAAGCAACGACGCTTAATAATATCGTTAAAGATTATACAATTCTGTTCTTCTCCTCCTGAAGTTCAGAGCAACAGCGATTCGTGTCCCGTTAGTTTCGAAAAATATCTCTCTGATCAGCTTTTCATGCATTACTTGATTCCAACGTTCCCGAACGCCATCTTGAACCCCCTCGTGACCGCGACATCGGGTGTCCCCCGTCCACGCGGAGCCTCGAGGGCCCCCTTCGACCCGGTTCGTTCGCCCCTCCAAAAAGGTACAAGAGCGAAATCAGCCAGTTTAACGACATTTTGGCAAGGTGGGGGGGAAACGTCGGTGAACACATACAAAGACTCAACAAACGATCGTTGCGGCTCGAGAGGTGGGTGGGTGAATATAAAAATAGCAAAGTTCTGACCGGGAAGGGCGACGAAACGGGCCCAAGGGTGCTCGAGGAGCACCTGGACAACAGGGGGTTGTGTGTGTGTGTGTGTGTGTGTTTTTTTTTTTTCGAGTTTGTGCTAAGGGGCCATTTTGTGCGCCTCCACGTTCCGAGCCATCGTCGCGACGACCAAAAACGGTGCCTAGTTTACGTGTTAATATCTTTGGTATCGTGCCTGAGTCTTTCGTTCGCGAAACGATCGCTAAAGGGTGATTATTTTGTCTCGGTAGAACCTTAACCGGATTAAAACGCTCGGTATAGTCGTATCAAACTTAGAAAAAACACGGTCCCGCTCCCTGACGAACGAAAGCAAGCCGTTTTTGTTTCATTTTTCTTTTTAAAAATACTACTCACCACCCTGAGGTACAATTAGATATTTCGTAACGACGTGAAGCGTCTCGATTCTACAATGGCAGCTTCGAAACGCGCGGATTCACCGCGCTTCTGTGTAGTTTTATGTGTTTTTTTTTTTCTTTTTCTTTTTTATTATTTCTTTGTATGCACGTGTATAAATCGTGTCCGTATATTCGACCCGCTGGCCGCGTACCGGCCGCCCTCCGCGCCTCGCAAGGGTTCTTCGAGGCTCGTAGCGCGGAAAGGGCCCCGGGGACGCCAGCGGTAATTATATTTTGTACTGTCGACAAAGGAAACCGTGTTCGTGTTCGTCTTCTGCCGATCTAAACGGTACTCTAAGAACGAGGAACGGACAGACGGGGCCCGTCCTTCTCGAGAGGAGTTCTTTTTCAGTCTTACCGTTTTAAGGGGGCGAGTGTAAACGAAGGGCGGGCCATTACGTTTCTCGGTTTGAAAATCGGGCCGGTCGACGACAACAGAAATAAAGGAAAAAACGTGCACTGTCGGTTCTCGTGTGTCCTCGGTGTATGTCGTGTGCGTGTCGAACAAGAACGAAACGAGAAGAAAGCGGCGTGACACCCCCGCTCGACTGGGGAACCACCGGGACCCTGCGACTCGACGGTTCTTAATAACAGAAGTCGTCGAGACTTGCGCCTCTACGCGATCCTTCCTCCCTCTGGACTGTAAAATCCACGTTTCTGTATGCTGGATGCTCCCTGAGGAGCGTACATTAAAAATTACCGACAGAGAAGCTTCGATTTTGTAAGAGTCAGACACGATTAACGCGATCACTGTCCAGTTTCTTGGCGGCGTATCTAAATGCATGGGGCTGTGACCCGTATACGGGTCACGGACAGTGGGCGCGTTAACCCCTTGAGGCTACGTCGTCAAGTCAAAATCACAAATCCAGTCTTCGAAACTTGCGCCTCTATGCGATCCTTCCTCCCTCTGGGCAGTAAAATCCACGTTTCTGTATACTCTATATCTCCTGGGAAGTGTACATTAAAAATTACTGATAGAGAAGCTTCGAGTTTGTAAGAGTCAGACACGATTAACGCGTTCACTGTCCAGTTTCTTGGCGGCGTATCTAAATGCATGGGGCTGTGACCCGTATACGGGTCACAGACAGTGGGCGCGTTAACCCCTTGAGGCTACGTCGTCAAGTCAAAATCACAAATTGGGCAGTAAAATTCGCGTTTCTGTATGCTCGATATGTCCTGGGAAGTGTACACTAAAAATTACTGATAGAGAAGCTTCGATTTTGTAAGAGTCAGACACTATTAATGCGTTCACTGTCCGGTCTCTTGGCGGCGTATCTAAATGCATGGGGCTGTGACCCGTATATGAGTCACGGACAGTGGACGCGTTAACCTTTCAAGTAAAAATCACAAATCTGTTCTTTTTCGTGGCCATTCCTTTTACGAGTAAATTTAAATAAAATTCAACACGTTTGAAAAATTATCCATCAAAGGGTTAACCTTCACTATCATTGTACAGGGTGTTTGGCAGTATGTTCTACAAATAAAAATAAGACTAAAATGCTTTGTTAAGAAGATATGGCAAAGATATTGAAACGTGATGTAAATACTGTTGAATTATGTTTATGTCACTTATGGTAACATCGACGCTACATATGTATCTCGTCATGTCCTGTGTTAGCCCTTAAGTGGATTATTGCGACCCTCCGCAAGTTTAAACAAATAATTTGTCCAACACGTTTGCTGTCCATGACCCGTATATGGGTCACACCACCGTGCTATTAGATACGCCGTTGAGAAACCGGACAGTGAACGCGTTGAAAAAATTCATTTAGTAAAATAATTCTTAGTAATTTTTAGTAACATTTCAGTCTTATTTTTATTTTTTATTTTTGTAGTTTGGGCGAATAAAAGCGCAAGTTTTCAACACTTCGTATGATCGGTCCGGGTCCGAAAAAGGAACCGTCGATCGCAGCGTGCATCGGCGTCCATCGTCTGAAATTCGTCGAAGAGAGTCGTACCACCCTCCCCCGACCGTCTCGCTCCCTCTCTCTTCCCCTCTCTCTCTGAACGCCTAGAAAACATCTTGTCATATAGAATATATCACATACGCGTTACCTCTAAACACACTGAAATAAGAAGCACTTTAAGATAGATTTCTACGTGTACCATCGGGCTCAGATTTCTAGATGGACCGATTCTCTCGTCCCCCATTTTTTTCCCCCTCTGTCGTTCGTAACAATCCTCTAACCGTTGTATAATGTTACTCTTTTTCATTTCTTTTGTATATATTATTTACATACAAGCCCCGTACTCTCTCTCTCTCGTTCCTTCTCCCATTCCTTCTCTCAGTTCTCCCTTAGACACACCTGTCACACACGCTTTCTCTCCCCCCATTACTCTCTTCGCTCTTACGTATATTGTGCAGGTGGTAGAAACGCGCGTCTCCGAAACGTACATACGACAAAATTAGGAATCGGCCGCGGGAAACATGTCGTTGGCGACCAGACTGTAGCTGACTCTTCGCTTCACGGAACAGAACCTCCAAAACCACGCATCAATGTCCGTTATACATCGTTTCTTTGCGTGGGCAAAGAGTCAAGAGAGTCTGAGCTGATCGACCAACCTCCATCTTGAAAAGGCAACGCGCCGATCTCCGCGATTTTACGGGAAACGATCACGCGCGTTCGCGTGTTGCGTGATACTCCCACTCTCGGTTCCCAAAGCATCTCTCCCCCAGTCGACGCTCGAATTATTGTTCCTCTCCCTTGATTTCCAGGCACGCGGTAGTATTACGCGAACAATAATGGCACTGTCGATCGCTCGTTAAATATTACAACATTAGAAAAATCGCGACGCGAGTCCCGACGATAGTCTCTTTTAATTGACTTCACGCGAGAAGAAACCTTGCCGCAATACTACGCGCTTCGGGATGAAAACAACGGAGATCGACGCGGGGCGCCGCCACCGTCGATCGAGCCTCGATCGACGCGACCTCTCGCGCGGGAAAAAGCATCCGTTTGGCGATCTCCGGACTCGATCGACGCTCGTGTGTGTGTGTAGTTAACCGTCGATTCCAGCGGTCTGTAAACGCAACACATGGATAACACCGCAACGGAACCGGACAAAAAACCAGGGAAAGTCAGCGCGCACAGGCCGATTTTTGTTCTCTCCAGGGCTCGACGACTCGAGTGAACGCCTTACTATACAGGATCGGAACGCGCAGCGGGACCGTAGAACGGCGTCCCGGCGGCTGGCGTCGCGTAACAAGAAGCGGAGTACGACGGCGGCGGTGAGGTGGACGCCGACGCCGACGACGACGACGACTATGATCGATAGATGAAGCTGCAGGGTGGCGTCGGCGGCGGCGGCGAGCCGCCTGTCATGGCGATCGGTACGAGGGTTGGCGATGGTGACGAGGAGGGAGGCGACGGGGAACTGGACGACACGCTCGACGGCGGCGAGGGCGACTCTAGCGCCCTCGGTCCCGCGAGCTCACGGTTCGACTGTCCCCCGGATGTCACAATCGCGTTACGGCGATTGCGAGCTGGCCGTCCTAGGCTCCGGTGACGGCCGCCTCCCTCCTCGCTCGTTTCTCAGAGATAAACCTTCTTCACGCTGCGGGTGGTCGCGAACCCGTCGTTGCGTCGATACGCGTCGCCCTGGTGGGACCGCAGAGTACCAAAGTTGTCCCTGGGTCCGCGGAAACCGTACCCGTCCGGGAACTGGAACAGCGTTTCCGTAGGCGTAGGTGGCGGCTTTCGCATCGTCCCCTTCGGTGAATGGAGCTTGGGTGGCTGGGGAACCAACACCGGCTCCGCGTACGTCACTTCCTCCTGAGGCAGCAACTTTGGCTCCGGTGCTAGCCTAAACACATCAAACTCATTGTCAATATGCTCCATCTTACCTTCAGGCCTTTTTGACTAGAAGAGATCATAGAGGTGCAGACTACTTGACATCTTTGATTTGAGCTCATAGATTCAGGTGGACAGGCTATGTTAAAATTAAGATCTGTAAGGTGCAAGACTCTTAAACTATACACGGAGTCGATACTAAGCGGAAATTGCCAGCCATCAAATGATCTCTTCTTGGAATCTTAAAATAGTCAATTGTCCTCACCTGTTAACATTCTGGCGTTGTTCAAAGTACTCGTACTCCGTGTCCGGGTACGGCAGATTGTCATCCTCGTCTTTCCTGCATTTCCTGTCGCACAGGCAGCCAGCTACAAAACCGACCAACAGTGCCGCCAACGCACCGGCTACCACCGCTATCACCAAAGTTTTCAAGGAGTACTGCGGCGGTGGCGAGTCTGCTGCAGTCACCTCTGGACCTGGATCAGAAAAGGAACTCAAATGTAATCAAGTTTTGGTACAATAAATACTATCGTAACGATCCTGAAGTTATTAATTACCTGAGCCATTCTGTTCCTCGTCGTCTTGCATGATGTTGATGATCTCCCCACCTTGGCCCTCCTTGTTGGGGATCATGGAGTCCTGGGGGAATTTGTTCTGGTTCGCGGAAATGGCGCCCACGCTTCCAGCGTCCTTGTTCAGGCCTTTGCTCGGGGGGCAGGAGCTGTGCAACCCCGTCGCGACGCTTTGCAAGAACCTGCTGGCATTTGTGGCTACTGGTCCTACAAGGGCTCTGCATTTGCCCTCCACTTTGTCCCAGGCGCAATAAGGGTCTTGCAGGGCCACGCACTCGCCGCACGACAGGATCCTATCGCTGTAGCAGCGATGGAGCCTCAGGGCCTGGACCTGGCTGTCGGCGATGACGACCAGTCTGCCATCTTCGAGGCCGTCGCCCGCCTGCGACGCCCTCACCACTTTTATACCCCGCACTGGCACCGTCGACGGGAACGCCTGGATCTCCTCGATCACCACCGGGCTGACCTTCGTGTGGGTGTCAGCGGACTCCGCGTTCACCGCCTTGATCACCTTCCCGTTGTCCGTGCCGATGAACAGCACGTCGTACGTCTTTCCGCTGGGGGTTTTCACTTGGGGATCCACGGCGATCTGGGTGAACCTGTAGCTGAAATTTCAAAAGATATCTCGTTAACTTTATCGACTGGTAGTCTACCACTTGGTGTTTACCGACTGCAACCCTACCAGTCGGTTTGTTACCGACTGCAACCCTACCAGTCGGTTTGTTACCGACCGCTAGCCTACTGACCGACTGTTTACCGACCGCTAGCCTACTAATCTGTCTTTTACCGACCGGTAGCCTGCTCATCGGGTATCAGAGCGGTCGGTAAAGTGTTAATACGAACCGACAAAGGTGTTTTATGACTATTGCACTTACTGGAAGCTGGTGCGGATGACGATGGGCTGTCCAAAGAAGCTGGGGACCAGCTCGTCCATGAGAGAGTGCGTGTGGATGAAATTTAGTGTCAGGTCGGGCAAGGTGCGTGAGTCGTTGACGCATTGACCGGGCCTCGGGTCCGGGACCTTGGCGCTCTGCACGGGCAGCCAGTTGGAGTTGATAGCGCTCTGCTCCTTGAAGTTGCCCTTGAAGGTGTCGGCGATGTCCTGCAGGGAGAAGGCGCAAACGGCCGAGCCGCTGATGCTGTTCACAGGGGTGGTGAACGTGCCGTATATTAACTGAGCCGACTTATTCCCGTACTGACCCGATATCAGCTCCGTCGTTGATTCTGCAAATAACGCCCGTTGTAATTTCGCGAGAGCCCTTTGTTTGCGCGAACGCTCTCGCTGGCCGCGGAGACATTTACGAGCGGGGTCGGCGAAATTTATTTCCCCCATCCCACCCCAACTAGGCAAACGCTGCTCTTTAATAACGCTACTCGACCGGGGAAAAAACCCTTCTTGCAATTCTGATGTCTAATTCTCCGTTGCATCAGGCTTTTCGGGGGGTGCAAGAGTCGTAGCTAATTTTGGATTTGTTTATAGCTCTAAAATAAATTCTATTTGACTCCAACTCATCAACCCTTAAAAACCTGATGAGATAGGAAGATTTTCACAGCGTTTGGTCCAGTAGTGTACCGATCGATCTCCGAATATTTCGTCCATTTTTACAATTCTTTTTCTATTTAAAGATATTATTCACTGAGAGAGGTGATATTCGGTTGAACGTTTGCTGGGAACGGAGATCGATCGCTGGAGCTGTTGAAGGGGGAACAAAGGCTGTACTTACGTATTTCATTGAAGTAAAAAGGAAAGTCTCCGGTGACGGAGCAATTAAGACGAGACTTTAGGAACGAGGTCCACCTATTGCGATACCGATGTGGTCCGCCTCGATCGTACTTACAGACTCTCGCCACGCGAGAATAAACGGTCTGAAACAGGAACGGGAACCGTGCATGAGCGTGAATAGATCTGGCCAGCGATGGGATCAAGTGCCAAACAAGTAGCATTATCGAAAAAGCAGAAACTCCCAACAGAGGTACACTCTCTCTCGAGGCCATTCGTAGATTATTCGAACATCAAAAGCATGTGCTTCGAGGTGGAATCAAACATGGTTATCGCTTGTTCTGAAATTCGAGGCCAGTTCATACAGTGCATTTCGTGTACAATGAATTTCTCACGAATGGTCCTTGGTTATCGGAGCTTTGATTTGAATTTGTGAGTAAATATTGACTTGATCTCATCGCTAATTCTGACCTCCACCGCGAGCCGTGGATCCGGGTCGTTGACAGTTGTTTGATAAGATCGCGTGTCTGTCGATCTCTTGATTATCTCTGCATACACGCGTCAGAGATGGGGCTGGAATTTTATACGCTCGATAGATACTACAGGAGATACATCAAGTAACTGAATCCATCTCGAAAAAATTGATAATAAAATTTGACAGAGCAACTTTTTAGTTTGACTGGCGGATCAGTTGGTTAAATTCTGACGCGGATAATAATTTCAGCCATCTTTGATACGCGGCGATGCGTTCTCGCAGGCGGCACCTTTGTCGATAAATTGGCCTCGAGGTTCGCCCTAGACGCGCCTCGCGATTACAGATTTTCCGCGTAGCTTGCCGAAAATTGTTCGTAGACTTTGAGAACGAAGTTGCAACGAGCCCTCCCCCCCGTTACGATGTCGTCACATCGAGTTCCAAGCGACTGTATTCGACCGAAAACACGTTCCCACTGCTACAAGACGTGGCGCAAGGTGTCATTAAGACGCTTGAAAAGGGTCGGAAAAGGTCGACTTTTATGGTTGGTCGACATCGACCGCTATCGCGCCTCTTCGAACGAATTTCTCCACCTTGGTAGACATTTCTAGGCATCTGTTACACATACACGTTATTTATATCTTTTTTATGATGTATTTATTGAGATGAAAACCACTTTCAACGATAAAAATTAATGTCTATGTAATTTGCATCATTGGTAATGACGCTTTACCGACTGGTCGCCTATTAATCAATTTTTTACCGACCGGTAACCTACATTATCGGCTTTTTACCGACTGATGACCTGCATTATCGACTTTTTACCGACCGGTGACCTACGTTATCGACTTTTTACCGACCGGTGACCTACATTATCGACTTTTTACCGACCGGTGACCTACATAATCGACTTTTTACCGACCGGTGACCTATATCACAGACGAGATATATGAATAGACCTTTCACCTTATGGACTTTCGCGGCCGAATCTGACTGCCATACCGACCTGAAAATTCGGAGGTGATTTTAGCGGCCTCTTCTCATGGATGGCGGTCAGTTGAGAAACTTTTTTTTTTCGTCGAAAATCTCTGGCACCCCCCTGTCGATTTTTCTGAAAAATTCGCCTATATAATCTACTTTTTACCGATCGCTATCCTATTGGTTGGCTGTTTTCCGCCAAAGCTCACCAAATGACAGCCTGGAATCAACCGTTAGGTGTGTTAAATAGTGACGTTTGATGGAGTTTTACGCGTAGCAGTGAGACGACGCAGTCAAATATTAACGAAGGGATTAAGTATCGCGTCGAACAGGTCCGGGGGTTCGGCCGTTAAAGTTCTCGAGGATACGTAACAGTTTCGGGATGTTTAATCGTCGTCGATTTTCCGGTCGTTTCCCGGAATGGATCCACGTTCGCGAAACTAATTGCGCAATTAAGGGTCGCGTAACTACTTACCTTGCCGCAATTGATATATTCCACGGCGGTTTCCCGGAAGAAGAAGTAGACGAAGTCTCCCTGGGACATGGAGCTCACGAAGTTCGGCGCTGCAATTAGAATCGCGCATGGCATTACAAGGCTATTATTGTTATTACGTGGGACGCGACGGTAAATGGCGTCCATAAAGTTCCCTTATAAATAAACGAACGTGATAACTAGCCGGACGGGGACAATGGACGCAATAAACTATAGAGATAACGGTGGCTGGAAAATAAAGACGCGTCGTTCGTTAGAGATTCTCCGGGTTCATGGAGAATCGTAAGCCCCTGTTTGTTGGCAGAGGTTCGCGGGAGGCTGGGGGGGCACAAATGGAAGGATAATCCCGGCGTTGTTTCCATCGGCGTTATCGATTCCCCGTTAAAAAATCATTACACCCCTTTCGGGGGTCGTTTCCAATTACTGGCATGGCGGATCTCACCGTCGTAAAAATCAATTTTACCTTCCGCCAGGACGTCGGGAGGACCGCGACAGCTTCTCCGCGGGCGCGGAAATAAGCCAACTACGAATACGTAAGAGGCCCCTTTATTTTCTCGGGTTATTCGAGCGCTGTCGCGCGGTGAAACGACGCGGTTCTTCCCCCTCCGACCCCACGCTCTCAATTTTTCTCTCCTATTCGCTCGTCGCGCACAAGTGCCCGATAAAGTGAGAAAACTTTATCGATTTATTAACTTGACAGGGTTTTCATAAGCTTCTTAGGATTCATAAAGTAATATTAATCTCGCGCGCCCGCGTAGGTATATCCGGGGGGGGGGGACGGTCTCCCATAAATTTTCTCTCCCGTTTCTCGCTCGTTTCCACCCCCTCCCTTCTCTTCCCGCGTTTAACCACGCCGCCATCGAGACAAAGTGCACCAAACGGAAGCAAGATCGTTTTTTCCAAGTTCTTTCCTTAAAAAAAAAAGAATCCTTTTTGCTTCGTGGGGGGTAAAAACTGTCAGCTCGATACATGGACGCGATAAAAAGAACGCGAATAATTATTCGACGAGAAGAAGCGACGACCTAATTAGTCCGCGCGCCCAAAAACGAAAATTACCGCGATACTGTGCAAGGGGGTGGGTTTTTTTCATCCCCCCTGGAGGCGTCAACAGAGATTTCGATATTTGTCCGCGACGGAAATTCCGAACAGGAGGGAGAGAGACGGGGAAACAGAAGGCCGGTGGCGGGGTGGGGGAAAATTGAATTTTCAACGAACGGAGGGAAAATCAATATTATCCAGCGGGCGGAGAAACTTGATTAGCGCTCGTAGACCGTTCAATTAAAATACTCTAGCGGACGAGTCAACTCCCCCGGAACAAGGCGACGTGGCAATTCTATCGCGTCCTCCGGCTTCCGGACACCATGAAGACGCCTCGAGACGTCGATACACGCTCGTAAAAATTCCCCCCCTCCCCCCCCTGTACGCGTACTGTCAACCCCCTTGACTATGTCGTAATTCTTCCAACCACGAATATAAATTTTTGAAGGGGTAGTAACTTCGTTTTTTTGGACGTGGTCACAGTGGGTCAGAATACGTAATAATTTATTCCAGAGGGGAACTACCCCTAGCAAAATGTGTTGAAATTGATGTGCATATCGAAGCGGAGGGATATTTTAATGTTGTTACTTTATTAGAGTGTTTTTTTAAATTGTGAACGACTCGTGAATGTTTACATAGGGGTTTACAGTTTTGTAATAATTTGTTCTAGGGGAAACTACCCCTTAACAAAAATGTTAATATTGATGTGACTCGAGGTGGAGATTTATATTAATATTGGCATTTTATAAGAGCTTATGAATGTTTACATAGCTGTTCAGAATTTTGTAATAATTAATTCTAGGGGAAACTACCCCTAAAAAAAATGTTAAAATTGATGTAACTCGAGGTAGAGATTTATTTCAATATTGGCATTTTATAAGAGCTTGTGAATGTTTACATAGCTGTTCGGAATTTTGTAATAATTAATTCTAGGGGAAACTACCCCTAAAAAAAAATGTTAAAATTTACATGTATCTCAAAATGGAGGTCTATTTTAATATTGTTATATTATTACAGCTATATAAACACTGCTGTTCACAGCAGTAAAAATTCATTTTAGGGGAAACTACCCCTACAAAAAAAATGTTAAAATTGACATGTATCTCAAATGGAGGTCTATTTTAATATTGTTATTTTATTACAGCTGTATAAACATTCACAAGCTGTTCACAATTTTGTAATAATTAATTCTAGGGGAAACTACCCCTAAAAAAGTAAGTTAAAATTGATGTAACTCGAGGTGAAGATTTATTTTAATATTATTGGTTTATTACAGCTATATAAACACTCACATACTGTTCAGAATTTTGTAATAATTAATTCTAGGGTAAACTACCCCTAAAAAAAAATGTTAAAATTGACATGTATCTCAAACTACAGGTCTATTTTAATATTGTTATTTGATTACAATGTTTCTCTAAATTGTAGATAAATATTTCATAAATTATATTGCTGATGTTTATGTTTATTTATTTAAGATTTTAATTTTTGAAAAGCTACAAAAAACCCTCAACATACAAATACATAAAAAACACAAAATTTAAAATAAATATTAAAAAAAATTAAATTATTGTATTTAAGGGTTGACAAACCCCCGATTTGATTAATTCTGTCAAAAAAAAATTTGCAAAACTACCCCCCAGTCTATTTATATTAAAGAAAATACAAAAAGTGTTGATTTGTGTGGGAGGGGAGTGGAGGGTGTTTCTGAACGAAATCAATGGGCAATTATGATCCGGAGGGCGGAATTTCCGGGAGGGTAGGGGGTGGATGGTCCGATAAAAGAGTTAGCGACAACTGTTGGTGGAAAAAGCGTGCACTGGAGGTCGTCGAACGGGGCAGAGGCACTCTTTGATCCGGATTAAAATTTCCCATCGACGGAGACGTATTTCGTAGGGAAACGGGGGGTGGCCAGGGGGGGAGGGTTGCTGCTTTGTCATTACACAGGTATGGAGGGGTCGAGGAATAATCTCCGCGAGCGCGGAGCCTGGCGAAATCCACGTACACGCACGGTTAATCTCGGAATTACACCGTGTGGATTAAAGCTGAAGCGCCGACGGTCGTTGCCGCGGCCGATCGCGACGTTTCGAACAATTTCTCACCCCCGTGGCTACGGGCCAGGAATTTCCAAAGTCGAGAACTCCGGCTACGGAATGGCTGAACGACTTCTCATAAAAGTTCACTGTCGAATCGAACCACGATTGTTTTAAAACGATGATAACTTATTTCAAGTACCAGTTGAGACTTTCGGGGGAAATATGTCAAAGAAAATTGGTATATTTAGGTTATCATAGCTTTAGAAAGTCATTTCACGATCCCATAGTATTATCTTGAAATGTGGGAACGTTTCATTGTTCCACAAACCCACAAAATTATCTTGAAATGTGAGAACGTTTCACTGTTTCAAAAACCCACAAAATTATCTTGAAATGTGAGAACGTTTCACTGTTTTACTAACCCACAAAATTATCTTGAAATATGAAATTATATTACTGTTTCACAAACCCACAAAATCATCTTGAAATATGAAACCATTCCACTGTTTCACAGACCCACAAAATTATCTTGAAATATGAAACCATTCCACTGTTTCACAGACTCACAAAATTATCTTGAAATATGAAACCTTTCCTCTGTTTCACAGACCCACAAAATTATCTCATTTTGGACAACAATTTGATTGAAATACTATGGAAAATAGCCTAAAAATTTCAAAATTAATTAGGAAGTGCAGGAAATAGAATGGAAGATAGTGTGATCTAATTAAAAGAAATTGTATTTATTCGATAGAGTTTAAAAATATTGATGGGATCGATATGCTGTTAAAAAAATCGTTATTGTCTTTACGTAACTGGATTTTGCATGTATGTATTTAATAGCGTAGGGTGCTTTCGATATAAAATAATAACGAAAGTTTCAGATTTCTAATTGGCGTAACAAAGTATTGAACTGTGAAATTTCGGGACATGGAACGTGGCAATTAATTTGTATAAAAATCATAAATCGATTTTCGACTATTCGGTGTTGTTAATCGTAGTCAAGAGTATGAAATTATTTAGAAGAAATATAGAAATTCAAGGAAATATTTTCAAAAGTAAGAGAATTAGGAAAAATTCTATCTAAATCAAACAATTTTTTTACTATCTTATAGCAATTATGAAATTAAAAATATGTATCAAATAAAATACTAAAATTACTTGGAATAAATGTATCAATGCCCCAATGTCTAAATTTGTTCGGTATTTCACAACAATTATGAAATGAAAAATATACAGAATTACTTGGAATAAATTCTGCATGCTTATTTTATTTTATAGCAATCATGAAATGAATAATATACAACAAATAAAATATCAAAATGAGTGTATCGCTGTCCCAATGACCAACCAGTGAATTTTTATTTAAATAGTTGCTGCTAAGTAGAGGTTAAAATTACTAGGAATAAATGTACCAGTAACCAAACACTTTCTGCATTTTTATTTTATTTTATAGCAATCATGAAGTGAAAAATATACAACAAATAAACTGTAATAATAAATATACCAATGTCCCAATGGCCAAACACTGAATTTTTATTTAAATATTTGTCCCTAAGTAGAGGTTATAATTACTTGGAATAAATGTACCAGTAACCAAACACTTTCTGCATTTTTATTTTATTTTATAGCAATCATGAAGTGAAAAATATACAGAATTACTTGGAATAAATTCTGCATGATTATTTTATTTTATAGCAATCATGAAATGAATAATATACAACAAATAAAATATCAAAATGAGTGTATCGCTGTCCCAATGACCAAACAGTGAATTTTTATTTAAATATTTGTCCCTAAGTAGAGGTTATAATTACTTGGAATAAATGTACCAGTAACCAAACACTTTCTGCATTTTTATTTTATTTTATAGCAATCATGAAGTGAAAAATATACAACAAATAAACTGTAATAATAAATATACCAATGTCCCAATGGCCAAACACTGAATTTTTGTTTAAATATTTGTCCCTAAGTGGAGGTTATAATTACTTGGAATAAATGTACCAGTAACCAAACACTTTCTGCATTTTTATTTTATTTTATAGCAATCATGAAGTGAAAAATATACAGAATTACTTGGAATAAATTCTGCATGCTTATTTTATTTTATAGCAATCATGAAATGAATAATATACAACAAATAAAATATCAAAATGAGTGTATCGCTGTCCCAATGACCAACCAGTGAATTTTTATTTAAATATTTGTCCCTAAGTAGAGGTTATAATTACTTGGAATAAATGTACCAGTAACCAAACACTTTCTGCATTTTTATTTTATTTTATAGCAATCATGAAGTGAAAAATATACAACAAATAAACTGTAATAATAAATATACCAATGTCCCAATGGCCAAACACTGAATTTTTATTTAAATATTTGTCCCTAAGTAGAGGTTATAATTGCTTGGAATAAATGTACCAGTAACCAAACACTTTCTGCATTTTTATTTTATTTTATAGCAATCATGAAGTGAAAAATATACAGAATTACTTGGAATAAATTCTGCATGATTATTTTATTTTATAGCAATCATGAAATGAATAATATACAACAAATAAAATATCAAAATGAGTGTATCGCTGTCCCAATGACCAAACAGTGAATTTTTATTTAAATATTTGCCCCTAAGTAGAGGTTATAATTACTTGAAATAAATGTACCTATGATTCAATGACCACTTTCTCCATTTATTATTATATTTTGCAGTAATCATTAAATGAAAACTATACAGCAAATAAAATGTCAAAATTAGTATTTTTATTTAAACATTTGGCCCTAAATAGAGGTTAAAATTACTTTCAAAGACAATACCCAGTCGTGGGTGCATTTATTTCACTAGGAATCTGTTTTATGAGTGAATTGAATAAAAACAGAGACTCTGTCGCATCAAAGAAGTGGTCGAGCAAGCCTGGCGGCCATATTGCTTCGTCGCGAGGAAAAGTTTCTACGTTCCTCTTATTTTAACCCGAGAAAATGAAGCAGATATTATATAAGGTCAGTGTTTGTTTACTTTTATATTCGAACTATTTTAAATTTATTGAACCCCTCGCAAAATTCAACCCTCTCGCGAGAAAAATAAATTCGATAAAATTTCTACAGGCAAACTGGTTATTAATAAAAAGATCGATGGCTCCTTGGGTGAATTATTTTTCCATTTCGCAATAATTGATCGCTTTTCTTACCAGGGAATGCAAAGTTTTCCTTCCACTCTGGCGAGGGACCTTTTAGTATAACGGAGCAATAAATTCCTTCGACCTTCTTCCACTATCAAAAACACTCTGGGGCTGTTTACCTTCAATACCCCATCGAGTCCACCCTTATTTTAATTTTTAAACGGGAACATCGACGTTCCCAGCGTCGATTCATCATAGTACCTCCCTCTCAACATGTCATCCCCTGTTTGGCATTTTTCTAATTCCTAAAACCTTTCCCCCACTTTGATACTCGACTTTTTAACCTCCCTCTTTGAACGATATCTGTTTGTTCAAACACGTCACGACGGTGGATCCCGAATTACCATTAACAGGATCCCTGCGTCAATTTAAGACGGAAGGGTAGTTCAAGAAATTGCTCTTCGTGAAATACTTCGAACGAACGTTTTACGACAAATTTAATTGCCAGGATCACGTTCTCGCGAATTGGTAATTTATTTTATAGCGTCATTTACTTCTTTCTCTCGAATTTAAATAATTCACAGGCTCCCCTTTGTACTGTTTCTCTCGTTCTTTCGCGCGTCACGTGCGTCAGACATGGAGGAACCATGAATCAGTGTCACATATGTACGTCCAACACAAATTATTCGGAATATTCCATTTTATTATTTCTTCGACACAAACTGTATTCAAACGTTATTTATTATTTATTATTAGTTTGCAAATATATTTTTAAAATGATTCTCGAGGGATTTATCGAATTTAAAATTGATTTTTCTTTCTATTTTATGAATTTAATCGAGTGAAATATTTATTTAATTTACGTGGTTGGACAGTTTTCAAGCTCAATTTTTTACTAGATGTTTTATAAAGAATGCATGCAGACCACATAGCGAAAGCTTTTTTGAATATTGGAACCAACACGAAGTTTTGTAATATTCATTCCAGTTGAATAGGAAAAATTTTGTTGACAGTGGGATATCTTTCGAAAAATCAAAAAAGATAAAATTAGGTGGAAGAATGGAGTATTTAACGACTCGAAGTGGATATTATTACTATTTTCTAAAGGTAAAAGAGTAGTGGCGATATACCATTTCAAAATAACACGATAATTGATTTGGTGGTCACCGGTGACCGTCACTTTGAACTCACGTGTTGCAATATTATTTACAAAGGAAGGGCCCTAAAATCGTAAACAACGCCATTTTAATTTGGAATATTGTTAAATTCACCATTGAATCATTAAATAATCCTACGTTTCACGCTACAATTTGAAGAAGTATTGATAGGAGACGATTTTCATCGAGAGATTCTCAAGTGAACACTCACCGTTGAGGCTTTTGGAGTCGTATTGCTCCGTTTGCAGCGGCTCCCTGTAAATGATGGGGTCCATTCCCGCGAAATCGGCCACCGTGCCTGTGTACACCTCGCCATCCACGTAGACGAAGGTGCTATTGTGTCGTGGGTCGTAGGGGCACATCGCCTGGCCCACCTTCTCCTTCAGCATCGTGTAATTCCCAGCGTGCACGCCGTACTCCCGGCACATCGGTTTGAACGCGTTCGTCGCGCAAACCAGCAACGTGTTCGCGTCCCTCTTCACCAGAATGCGAACATAATTCTGACAATTCTCTTCCGGCGTGCCTTTAACCAGGCACATCTTCACGTCGCTGTCCGACGAGTACCAAGTCAGCCTCTGCTGCTCGGTCAGATCGGTCAGGCTCAGGTTGTGCACGAGATTTCTGTAACGGGGGGAAAAAGAGGTTTCTGAGATTGAACGCTCCGGGTGAGCCACGGACCGGCCCCTTTGTGCGCGACAGTCTTTTCAACGTTCGCTGAATGGCGCAGTTTGTCAAATGGAAGATCCCTGGAACCAGCCAACCGGGGCTCGATAATCGTATAATCGACTCGATTTGTCTCCCCACGGTTTACATTTTCAGCTCCCAACTCGAAAGCCACGCTCGATATAGTTCGATTTATACTTCGAACCATATTTTCGAGATGTGTTTTTTTGGGGCGGGATTAAAGTACCTGCAGTTGACACTTTCGCGGGGAAATATCTCAAAGAAAATTAATTAAAATATAAATTTAAATTTTTCAAATTCAATGTTTATCGAATCCATAAAATTATATTGAAAGATTAAATCATTTTAGTGCATCACAAACCCACAGAATTATCTTAAAATGTGAAATTAAATGTTTCAAATTCAATGTTTCACAAACCCACAAAATTATCTCAAAATATGGAATCATTGTAGTGCTTCACAAACCCACAGAATTATTTTAAAATGTGAAATCAAACATTTCAAATTCTAGAAGGGACCAAAACTCTTTTACTGTTCCACAAGCCCACAAAATTATCTTAAAATATGAATTGATTTATCTATTTCACAAACCCACAGAATTATCTTAAAATATAAAATTAAATATTTCAAATTCTAGAGTGGTTTTAAATCATGTACCAAAGATCTTTCACTGTTTCATAAGCTCACAAAATTATCTTAAAATATGAAATCATTTAACTGTCACACAAACCCACAGAATTATCCTAAAATATAAAATTTATAATTTTAGAATGGTTTGAAACCAATAACCAAAGCACTCAAAGTCTTCCAACAGTATATTGGCGGCGCCATTTTGTCGAGAGGTCAACTGCAGGTTACGGTGAGGTTATCCCCAATTTCTATGCCCACAAAGAATATTCCCGATCCCACATTAATCACCGAGCGAGCTCTCGTCCTTTTGCTTTTTCCGCTTATCCGTCGGTAACCTAGGAAACGTCCGTCCCGTCGAATCGACATCGGTGGTAAAAAAAAGGGTCGATCGAAAGACCGGAACTGCGGAACCGCGGAAGATTCGAGCCAGGTCCGTTTATTACAAACGGCGGAGGATTTATGGCGCGCGTCTCGAGATTAATATTCCTACGACGGATCCCTAGCGTTCGCCATTTTGTTGGCGGGTAAAAACCGTGGCCCGTCGACCCCGCTCGAATCGATGAAACAATTAGCGTAATCCGAACGACGACGAAAGCGACGCGATCGGTTTGGACCCAATTATCGCGACCAAAGATAATCGATCGAGCAGCCCTGCGACAGGATTGAATCTAGTGACCCAATTTACAGTGAATAAAACTACAATATCATAAATAAAAACCGAGATAATTTAAAACAAATCTCATTAAAAATACTCTCATCAAATTGCAAATGTTACAAATTTCTTAGTTATTTCTTTCCGGTGTCTCTCGCGTTTTAATTACAACTTACCGTCTTTTCTATTCCAAAGGGGGAAAGGGGGGGTTTCTTTAAAGATCGTTGCTCGGTGCCACGGATTCGCAGGCTCGTAAAATAAAGCGTACAAAGAAGTTTCTAAATAAAGTTCGACGATCTCATTAACAGGGAAGAACAGCGCTCCGGTGGCCGTTCTTGGAATTCATCGCCGGGGATAAAAGGAGACGGGAAATCCGTGGAAACGAGATCTCCTCCTCGAAGGAAAATACTCTGCACGCGTACACATCGAGAGGGCCCCGGTGTGATCACACGGGGGGGGGGGGGCCTCGGAGTAGCAAAGAAGAAGACGAAGAAGCGGTCCTTTAATTAAAGCACTCGCTTCAAATGAATCCTCTATTTACCTTCCGCCGACCAGAAGATAGTTCCCGTCCCGCAGCACCAGCCGAAAGTAGTCTGTGTGCGTCTCGTTTCCCGTAAACCTGAACACATCCTCCGCACCTGGAAAAGAAAAGCAGAGAAACGTTGGCTTTTGTTCCGTCGTTTGAAAAGTGGAATTATCTTATTCATCTAATTAGCCGTCGTTCCTTTAGCGAACGACGCAGGACGAAGACGTCCTCGAATCCTTTGCACTCCGCGTCGACCGGGGGGGGGGGGCCAGGAAGTCGACTTAATAAGCGTAATAAGTTCCTTTTGACCGCGGGCCTACGGCACAAAGCCCCGATCGATCATTAACGGATCTACCCCCGGCGATCTAGGGGCATTTTTTCAGCCCTCAGGAAGCTACTTCATTATCCGCTAATTACCTATCTATTAGTTTCAACGGCCCTTTCTCGCCCGCCCCATCGATCGCCTCTTCCTCTCGAGGAAGATTCCCTCACAGATTTCTAGATGTTTCGAGTCGATATTCGCCGATTCAGATCGTAAAAGTTCGATTATTATTCACATTTTACCGACCGGTAAGCGTTGTCGGTAAAGAGGAGATTAATGAGCCACCGGTCGGTAATATACCGATCAACAGACTTACCGGTTGGTAAGCGTCGTCGGTAAAAAAGACGATTGGTCGGTAAAAAGGTGATTTACCTGTCGGTAAAGTGTTAATGGTCTGTAGTTATGTTTTGCAGGATACTTTCGACGTTGTCGTTGATGGATAGAGGGGGGAAGGGATTCGTCAGAATCGTGCCAAATTGCAAATCACCGGACGGAATCCGCGGACACCGAGCCGCACCGTTCGAGCCAGATTCTAATCGACATCTCTCATGCCTCTGGCATAATTATCGGGGTGTTTCCGCGTTTCGACGTCAGTCAATGTCGCCGGACTGGTCCCTCGTATCCGATGGATGCAATTTAGGTCGCAGATAAGCACGCAATAGCATCAACGGTAACAATGAACGGATGCTACGGTGAAGAGGAGGGAGGGGAGGGGGGGGGGACCATTATGGAAGGACCGCGCCCTCCGCGGGAGCCATTCAAGCTCGCCTTTGCAAGACGCTCGCTAAAGCAATTAACGTAATTCCGATCAACTTCCAGCGCGTCTGCCTCCGCCGAGATTCGTTCATCTATCTCCCGTAGTTTCCTTACTTCGTCCATCCGGCTCGAAGGTCCATTACGAACAGAAGAACGAGCGCGGTCAATGAGATACGATTTCTTAAGAGTCTTCAAAACCCTTCACAGAAAGAACAATGCTGGGAATTGGGTAATTTTAAAACCTCGCTCATGGGGCCGAAAATGTTCACAGGATAGATTTCCACCTATTTGACCATCAGATTTGAGGGAATTGTTAATTGTCTTGAAATATAAAAATTTAGAATAATTTGGGATCCTCAAAATCCTATGGCTTCCACCATTTTACATAGCCACCTGAATTTAAGAAAAACCACCCCTGTGAGTTGGGACAACTTTTGCCCCCAGGGTGCTCGCCAAGATTTCGGGAGGAACGTTTCGACGAAGGTTTCGCGTTTCCCTGCGGTTATCTCGAGAGCGGTGGGATTCCGGCGGCTGGAAACACGACGCCTTCTCGCGGAAAATGATTCCCCGGGCTCCCAGGGATGTATAACACTCGAGTGACAAACGCAACAGGGCTCGAAATTCGCCCCGGACGATTATCTATCGTTTCCCAGCAGGCAACGTCTGAAGTGCAATTAACGCTGCCCCTCCGACACCCAGTCGATATCGATGATTCGACGGCGGGGTGGTGGTCGTGTCCCCGCGTATACGATTCGATTCGGGTCGCAGATAGCCGCGGAATATCGGCGAACGGGAGGCGCGCACGGCCCCATTATCGGAGGGATCATACGTCTTGCACTGGAAACGAATTAACGTCACCGTTGTCCTGCGTTACATTCCCGGTGTGTGTGTCGCTCGTCCGACGGGAAAGCCCGAGAGAGACGGCGAGATGATGATTCCTGATGGAAAATCCGGAACAAGATCCGTTCATGGATGTGATCGAATCCCGGGAACCCCCGCTTATCGAACATTTTCCGCGTGGGAGCATGTCCCTGGACGTGTTTACGACTCCTGTTTCCGGGGATAATTATTATAACAACGGATCTTTTTATCTTTATTTGTTGTCTTGTTGTCCTCTACACTCGTATTCACTGTAAACGAGAAGCTTGATTTTCTTATGAATTTTTTATTTTATTTCTAATTGTTAGGTTATATTTATTTACAAAGTGGTTTTTTTTTGTTTATTTTATGATAGAAACAATTAATGGCTGACTAGAAACCTGATAGCGAGGTTAGAATAATTTAAAACCCTCTATAAATTGATATACGGGGGTTTTTTACGGGGAGCGGTCGTCGTCACCCATCCCAGTCTGCACGCCGCCTGATGATGCTGCACCTCGGTGATCGGACGGTAGCCAGCGCCTCCAACGTCCCACGACTTTTCACAAGATACACAATTAATTTACTCATATATAACGCCTCACAAATCTCAAAACAAATAAATTTTCCGTTATTTACAGTGCACCACCATGGAACGAACTCCGTATAAATAAATTCCTACGAGTGTTTTCTCGGCTCGAACAATATTTCAACGCAACAACACGGCGAAGGCTAGTGTTTGAGAGTGTTTAAAAAAAAAATTTGAAACGATGCTCCAGGGGAGGGGTCATCGCCGAAAGAGTAATATTTTTCCCGGGATATTTACGGACATCGCGTAGATATCGATTGATATGAGAAGCGGAAACGCGGTCTCTTCCGCTGATTGGCTCTGAAATTAAACGGGGCAGGTTGTAACTCCCATCGGATCCTAGGCTCGCCCCCGGGTTATCGCTTTCCAAAATTAGCTGCTCGATTGGAATCGCGGGGAAAAAACTGGAGAACCTCGGCCACTCTAATTCCGGGGTAGCTTGCACACGGGCGCGAATCGAGACACTTGCTGCCCGAACTGGAAATTGCGACGCGCGAATAGGGACCGGATGTTTCGAAAAGCTGTTGACCTTTTAAACTGGACGAACACTGTTTTAGTTGCGCCGACTTTTTCAGTCGTGCTGGATCTTTGATTGCCAAAATGGTAGAGTACACTTGAATTTGGTAAAAAATGATAAAACATTGTCAAATTTTGGAGCAAAAATATATTAAGAGATGTAGAGAAAATATTTCATTCGATATAATATAAATTGAGTCAATAATGGCAGTTTCTAAATTATGAACAATTATTTCCATAGTGTTTAGAATCTTTGAATATATTTTTGATTAGATATAATATAAATTGAGTCAATAATGATGGTTTCTAATTTATAAACAATTATTTGCAGAGTGATTAGAATCATTGAATATATTTTTGATTCATCATAATATAAATAGAGTCAATAATAAACCTTCTAATAGAGTCAATAATAACTAGAGTCAATAATAAAATTTCTAATTTACAAGGGAGTGTTTATAGAGTGTTTAGAATTTTTTAAATATATTTTTGACTCAATATAATATAAATTGAGTCAATAATAAAGCTTCTAATTTAAAATTAGTGTTTGCAGAGTGTTTAGAATTTTTTAAACCTATTTTTGATTCGTTGTAATATAACTTGAGTCAATAATGATGGTTTCTAATTTATGAACAATTGTTTGCAGAGTGTTTAGAATTTTTTGACTGTATTTTTGACTCAATATAATATAAATTGAGTCAATAATAAACCGCCCAATAGAGTCAATAATAACTAGAATCAATAATAAAATTTCTAATTTTCAAAGAGTGTTTAAGAAGTGTTTAGAATTTTTTGACCGTATTTTTGATTCAACATAATATAAATTGAGTCAATAATAAACCTTCTAATTTACAGAGAAGTGTTTGCAGAGTGTTAGAAATTTTTTGACCGTATTTTTGATTCGCCACAATATAAATTGAGTGTTTTTAATCAACGAAACATTGTTTGGAGAGCGTTAGGAATATTTTTAGCGTGTTTTTGAGTGGATAGTGAACGTGACAGGGGCAAGTTTGTGGTGTTTAGCACCGACAGGATGGATGGTGTATCGCCATGGCGTCTTTGGCAGCCATTTGCGGTCAACGTCGAGTTTCGTCTGACAGGGAGTTGGTGATATCCGTGAAAGCCGATACAAAACGCAAGCCACGAAGGCGAATATCGGCTTTCGCGTAGTTACCGAGCGGAACGTCGCGTTCCGACATCGACGACCCCGGGATTCCGACTGCCACGACAATCGTAATTGCACTTTTTATCGAGTGACCTTTCGGCGGGGCTTCCAGGCGTCGCACAAAGCGTTTAAGCGCGTTTCGCGTCCCGCTAGCGCCGCGACGGCGCCTCTTCCTGTCCACTTTCATTTCGACGATTCATTTTTTAGCGCTATCCCCGTTTGTTCTTGGGACAACTCGATCTCTGCGTACACCGGGAATGCCCCTACGAGTCTACGACCGAAAAAACCCCCGGCAATTGGTCGATATCTTTACGTAATATAAAAATTAATAAAATACTTTGGAAATTTATAAAATTATAATTTTGAGATTCTATATGTTGTAACAATATTTTGGAAAAATTATTTTAATAAAATTATGACTCAAAAAATGTATTTTGATTTAGAGAACCTTTCTATCCTATCACAATCTATATTAAAATTCATTATTTTAATAATCTACGTGGATTTGAATTATTGAAAATATTTATTACAGAGTGTGGGGAATATATTAAAATTGTTTTTTAAAAATCGTATTCTACTTAAAAGTATCTCTCAAATAATAACACTTAGTTCCAAAATTTTTCAAATTATTTTGGGCAGCTGTAAAATAATAATTGTGTTGTAACAATATTTTGGAAAAATTTTTTTAATAAAATTATGACTCAGAAAATTTATTTTGATTTAGAGAACCTTCCCATCCAATCACAATCTATATTAACATTCATTATTTTAATAATTTATGTGGATTTGAATTTTTGAAAAAATTTAACATTTTTTTTTTTAATCGTATTATATTTGAAACTTTCAAATAATATTTGTAGAAGTTTCCTGCGTTCCCAGAGAACAAAAATGAACCTCAGAACAGAA